TTTTTTTTTTCTTTAAAAAGGGTCATCGTTTTAATATGATCAGCAATTATGTGGACCTCCGTAATGACAGAAATGCAGTGCTTGAAATCATACAACAACAAACAGTTGCTGCATGGATATATATAACACCAAGCCTTCTGGAATTCAATGGCCAGGTAATTTCTTTATATTAAAATCTTTTCTCTTTTTTTTTGTCTACGTAAATGCAGTTAGCGAGTTATCCTTATCGATTCAATTTGACCCCTTTTTTTATTTAGTTCAATTTAATCTGATTTATCTTTTGCCCAAAATGATGTTTTGATGTAGGGAATCTATATTCGGCCAGCTGATGAGGAAATCGATATTGAGAACAAGCACGCTGTCTTGATTGTTGGATATGGAGAAGATGACGGGGTACAATATTTTTTAATTCAAAATTCGTGGGGGTTAGGATGGGGTGACGGAGGATATGCGAAGGTCGGTCAAGAATTTCTGAACCGTTTTTGCTACCCTGTAGTAAATGACATGAGGGAGGTAATGGGAGAAGATTTATTTGAAGAATATTTCCCTGAAGCAATGTGATTTTGATGGTAAGCATATCACTAGGAGAAATTTCTCCTTTCTCCCCGTAATTTTACTAGTCTGCATTGAACATTTGCTTATGAATGATTTGTAATATTACCGTAATTTAACATTAGCAATACTATTGCTGTTAAACTTAATTTAAGTGAAGTAATATTTTACGATAGATGTTTCATAACGATGCTTTTATAGTGATGATTTATATTGCTGTTGAAACTTGGATTTAGAGATCAATAGAGTTGTGAAATTAGAAATCTTGGCATGAACAGATAAAAGATTTTTGATTTTGGGATTCACTCTAATCCCCTATTGATTCTGTGTGGAATATTTTGTTAATATATAGTAGGATACAAAATTACATTAACTTGCAAATCAACAAATTTTTTAAGCTATAGTCAAGGCTATCAGCTTTCCATAGTCCTAGAAGTCAGCAATACGTTCAATAAACAACAAAAAAATAAAATCTAAATGATTTTGCAAAGGCACAATCTTAAAAAATACAGGTTAAATTCAATCTGGAAGCAAGTAAAAGACCTTAACCAAGTGGCAGAGTCACAAAAACAGTAACTAAAAAATCAATTATGATAAAAAGAAAATCTAGATGGGCACAATGATAATCAGCATAAGTTGAGTTGGATCAATAACTAATTAAACGTGCCATGATAGGTCAGAAAGTGAACATGGTAATAACTTTGTCCAACCAATCGTCTCCATATATATAGATATATAACTACAAAATACCCAGTTTTCTTCTTCGATGGTACTGAATATATCCAGTTTAATTGCAAAAAACACATCCTCCAAAAGTTTCTGTTGAGAAACCACAGGAAGTTAACACAACACCTGCACACACCAAAAACACAACCATCAGTATCTTGCGCATCAAACTACTGTACTGTACTTTTCATACCAATTAATTCAAATACAATAACAAAAAGCAAGCCGCCCTAAGAGATTCAAACAACTATTTATACTAGCTTACACTAGAACCCAACAATCCTAGCTACATTCTAACTTCATCGATCACTCCGAACAATAAAAAGGCACATTCTAATCATGAGACAAAATAACATTAAAGCTCAAAAACCGAAGCAAAATACTAAGGACCAAATAATTAATGAAAAACAAAACAACTCTGAAACTAAGTAAGAAACTTCAGCATTGACGACGCATCACTAGGTAATTCTACATTTTTGTTAACTCTAAATGTTGAAATGGCAACTGTAATGAAAGCTTGTAGCAAGGACGCAGAAAGAAAAAAGAAATGGTGAAAACTTAACACCGCAAGGATTTTCTGTTGGACTTTGTGATTTGCCAGTAAATAAAGGGCCTAAGTATAGAATGCTGGACAATCAAGAAAGGAATGAAGCGTAAAAGAAAAAAAACAGCAAGCATTTATATATTGGACTTAAGATTAAGAATAAACGTGCGCAATTTTGAGAAAATATTCTTGCTATTACAGTAAAACTAGACCAAACACATGATTGCTAATCCATGTATAGTTAAACATGGCCATAGCGAACTAGCACAACTAGGATTTAACATCATTGCAAGAATTGCCACCAAACAAAATTTACAATACAAATCTAGCTTGCAAATACTAGCATAAAATGGTAGGCTGCTGTAGTTGTACATCAAAGCAATTATTAGTTTTGAGAATGGCTAACCTACCTTGCTTTCTTGCCTATAACTTAAATCAACAGCCGCCACATGGCTCCCCTCCTTCGCAATCATCACAGGGTCCACCTCGCTTAGGATCTATCAAGATAAAAAAAAAAAGAAGAAGAAAGAAATAGAAAGGCATAATCAACCAGCAGGTACAAATCATTCTAAGAGCACTTATTACTTTTCTTTAGCTATGAGCTATATATGTAAGACATGAAAGATCAGTTGAAGAAGGTGCTTAAGTTCCAAATACGTTTGAGACAGATCAGAGACCCCTAAAAAACATATGGCCTCATACCCATCATTTCTTACCTTAGCATGAATAGGACAAGATCATAATGAAAATCTATGTTATATTATCTAATTCAAAATCCTTGCATCCCATAATCAGCA